ACTCCTAATCTTTAATAGTCTTTAGTACTCCTAGTATTTAGTAGTCTTTAGTATTCCTAGTATTTAGAGTAGTCATTAGTACTCTTAGTATTTAGTAGTCATTAGTATTCCTAGCCTTTAGTAGTCCTATGTGTTAGCAGTCTTCAGTACTCCTAATCTTTAATAGTCTTTAGTACTCCTAGTATTTAGTAGTCTTTAGTATTCCTAGTATTTAGAGTAGTCATTAGTACTCTTAGTATTTAGTAGTCATTAGTACTCCGAGTCTTCAGTAGTCTTTAGTACTTCTAATTTTCAGTAGTGTTTAGTACTTCTAATTTTTAGTATTATTTAGTATTCCTGTTCTTTAGTAGTCTATATTTCTCCTAATAACAAATAACACTCTTTGGTACTCCTAATTCAAGTCTACTAATTCTCTAAAAATTTCACTTCCCTCTCTTAGGTGAGAGAGAGAGAGAGAGAGAGAGAGAGAGAGAGAGAGAGAGAGACGGTATTTTCCCACTGAAATGACCAAATAAATGAATGCCTGAATAAAAAGCGGGACACGCCCCTCGCAACGGAAAGCCCCAACAGTAAGGGCAGTATCGTTTATCATATTGTCGCGTGCCGACGAGCTCTTCCGTTCCTGAAACCTGTTGCCGTTGTTTCGAAACTTCAATAACGTGTCATTCGATGGAATTTCTGTACTGCCGCGTAAAATGGATAATCGCGGAGGTAGAAACCACCTGTCAATCTGCAGATTTAATGCTCTGTTATGGGGAACAGGAATATAATTACATAATTGTCTCCGTTAGACGTACTTGGCAATCGTTTATCGTCGCTGCAATTCCAAGATAAAGTTGTAAAACGTTCTTCCGGAACGTTAGTCATGCTATGCGCAAAAGAAACAATGGATCATTTGAAAACTTAGGAATTTTTGTTACTCGATGGTGTGTAAATACATTAGAAATTATAATATTTTGTATTGAATTTATATATTGAAATTTATTGCTAGTTTTAATTTATTGGCTGGATTTATTGGTATTATTTATTGACGATATTTAATGGCAATATTTGTTAGCAATATTTATTAGTAATATTTATTGGCAATATTTATTCCCAATATTTGATGGCAATATTTATTAGCAATATTTAGTAATAATATTTATTCCCAATATATTTGTTGGCAATATTTATTAGCAGTATTTAGTAATAATATTTATTCCCAATATTTGTTGGCAATATTTATGAGCAATATTTACTGATAATATTTATTCCCAATATTTGTTGGTAATATTTACTGGCAATATTTATTCGCAATATTTATTGACAATATTTGTAGGTAATATTTATTGGTAATATTTGTTGGCAATATTTATTAGCAATATTTACTGGCAATATTTGCTGGCAATATTTATTCGCAATATTTATTGGAAATTTTTACTGGCTATATTTAGTCTCGCTATTTGTGGCCGATATTTATCGGCAATGAAAATTGTCATTCGCAGGCTCTCGCAATAATTGCCGACGCTCCATTCGTGGCGAATAATCTCGCAGAGGACAATGTATTTACACGTGGCTCATTAGTATGTCGGTTTCGGCGATTAGCATTCCCACCACTGATCGGTCAATTATCCAGCAGATGATTACGACGCGCAGCCGGCGATATCCTGCGCGGGAACAATCGATCGATCTCCTCGTTTTATCCGCGAAACAATACCACGAGGCGCGAGTAAAAACGATTACGATTGCGGACAGTCGGTGTTCGCACGATGAAAAACCCAACGATATACGGCAATTGGTGAGTCAAAGACGAAGAATGCTTCCCTCGCAATCCCCTAATGATTCCTTCAATATTCATCGTGAGGCGCGCGCCGCGTTCGGCGACGATACAATCTGCAAGTGCGCGTCGCGAAAACACAGAATCGTAAATAATTAAAGATGCATCAGCTTGTCAGGAGATGAGAGGCTCTCGAATTGAGAAGCAATTGCGTATGAAACCAGTTATCGTCGCGTTCGTTCGCTCCGCCGTTCGGATGTACGCGTACTCGATACGACATTTTATTTGCCGCCCGCTATTTTCCTCGAATTGAAACATCGGACGCTCGCGAAATTCTTGTGAAACCGAGAACATGATCGATCAGGGTAAATTCAATTAACTAAACTTTACAATGCGTCAAAGTTTCTCAAGCTCTGTGTGCTGCAACCTTTCCTTTTTGTGATGAACGATTTAAGCTTCAAACTTACTCAAATTTACTCAGACTTACTCAGGCTTGAGTCAAATTTACTCAGACTTACTCAGACTTGAGTCAAGTTTACACAGAATTGAGTCAAGTTTACTCAGACTTACTCAGACTTGAGTCAAATTTACTCAGACTTACTCAGACTTAAGTCAAACTTACTCAGAGATATTCAGACTTACTCAGATTTGCTTAGTCTTGCTCAAACTACTTACTCAGACTCATTCATACTCGCTCAGACTTACTCCGAATTATTCAGACTTACTCACACAAACTCAGACTTACTCAAACTACTTACTCAAACTCACTCAGACTCGCTCAGACTTTCTCAGACTTACTCAGATTTACTCAACCTTACTCAGACTTACTCAGACTCGAACCAAATTTATTCAGACTTATTCAGACATGCTCGTACTTACTCAGCTACTCAGAATTGTTCAAACATGAGTCAAACTTATTCAGACATACTTAGACTTACTCAGATTTGCGCAGACTTGCTCAGATTTATTCAGAATTGCTCAGACTTAGTCAAACTTAACGAAACTACTTACTGAGGCTCATTCAGACTTACTCAGACATACTCAGTCTTGAGTTAAATTTACTCAGACACATTCATACTCGCTCAGACTTACTTGGACTTACTTAGACATACTCAGACTTACTCAAAGTACTTACTCAGACACATTCATACTCGCTCAGACTTACTTGGACTTACTTAGACATACTCAGACTTACTCAAAGTACTTACTCAGACACATTCATACTCGCTCAGACTTACTTGGACTTACTTAGACACACTCAGACTTACTCAAACTACTTACTCAGACTCACTCCGACTCGCTCAGACTTCCTTAGACTTAGTCAGATTTATCCAGACTTGCTCAAAGTTATTCAGACTAGCTCAGAGTTATTCAGACTTGCTCAGACTTGACCCAAATTTACTCAGACTTATTCAGGCATACTCATACCTGCCCAGAGTTACTCAGACTTACGCAGACTTGAGTAAAACTTATTCAGACATACTCATACTTGTGTAAAACTTATTCAGACATACTCAAACTTGAGTAAAACTTATTCAGATATACTCAAACTTGAGTAAAACTTATTCAAACATACTCAGACTGACTCAGATTTACTCTTACTGTTCAGACTTAATCAAACTACTTACTGAGGCTCAGTCAAGCTTACTCAGACATACTCAGACTTGAGTCAAACTTACTCAGACATACTCATACATAATCTGACTTGCTCAGACTTGCTCAGACTATATCCGAGTAATTATTTCCAATGCATGATATATTACTTTAATTGACAACATCCTTTACCACCACAAATAAACAACTACTTTCAATTCGAAAAATTTCGAAATTTATCTCCGACAAACAAGATCCGGAACCGTAAAATTGGCGACGACGATTGGCCAGCAGAGCCCGAACGTAACTGCGCCGCGCAGACATCGTCGACTAGCCATCGAGGCATCTCGAGACCGTACTAATTGCCTCACCGATCTTGCGCGATGAACCAACCCCGTTCGCCGAGCTAAAACATCGCTTAATGCGCTACTAGTTTTTCGAAAGTTTGATCGCTTAGTACCGGCAAGGTCGGGCTTAAGTGACTCGCGCGGCGTGCGTACACGATCACGAATAAAGGTGTCAGCCGCGGCTGCAAAAAGGGGGAGTGGATCCTCGTGTAGCGGTAGCAAATTACCATACCGGTGGCACGTGCATTTTTAACAAAGGACCGTAATAACCGGACTCTCGCGGCCACTGTCGTCCGGCATTATTCTCTTCATATAAGCAATACGCTCCTCGGCCGTTAAAGACGGCCGGCCGACTAATGGAAAGCCGGCCTGTTTCCCCTTGTACAGATTAACGCCGCCGCGTAATTACGACGGTTCTTCAATTAAAACGTACATGAAATGCAAATAATAGTCTGTCCATTTATGATCGCCGCCCGCTCACCGCCGATGAATAGGCGAATAGCGAGCGCGCGACGATCGTCGAAGCAATATACGCTTGCCACGATTTAATGTCTAATTGTGTTGTTCGACTTGATTAAGACCTCAGATTCGTGCGTCGCATGCTCGCGGTATCGAGTTCTATTCGATGGACGAGTTTACTCGGTCTGATTGCTGACGATGTTTATAATAATATACTTAATATATTAATATTACTGTTCTGTTATATTTATTATATCAATGCTCATATAACTATTATATTATATTTATTATATCAATATTCACATTATTATATTATATTATATTTGTGATATCAATATTCATATTATCATTATATTATATTTATTATATCAATATTCATATGATTATTGTATTATATTTATGATATCAATATTCATATCATCATTGTATTATATTTATTATATCAATAATCATATTATTATTGTACTATATTTATTATATCAATATTCATATTATCATAATATTATATCTGTTATATCAATATTCACATTATTATTATTTAATATTTATGATATCAATATTAATATTACTATTTTATTATATTTGTGATATCAATATTCATGTTACTATTTTATTGTATTAATTATATTACATTTATTATATATATGATATCATCAATTCATATTATTATTGTATCATATTTATTATATCAATATTCATATTACTATTTTATTGTGTTTATTATGTTACATTTATTATATCAGTATTCATATAATTATCATATTATATTTACTATATTACTATTAATTCACCTATTATATTATATTTAATTGTATCAACATTATTAGTAGTAATTTCGTACTCACCTTGTTCGGTGCAACAGCCCAAGAGCGTAACGACGTTCGGATGGCTGCCAAGCTGTTGCATGATCTCGAGCTCCCGAACCAGGTCCTCCTCCTCTCTGTCGGAAGCACCTTCCTTCACCGTTTTGACGGCAACTAAACGGGTCGTTCCTTGATGACCGGTCAAGTCGTCAGCCTCGGCCTTCCAGACCTGCATGATGGACAAATCAGCCGTAAACAACGCCGAGCTTAATTGCGTTTTAATTGCACATTCCGGAGGTTCGTGCGGTAACAATTTCGACCAGCTGTTCGAACAGTTCCGATCATTTCGGAACGGTCAGCGGTCTCGAATGCGTCGTTTTCTGAACAAAATACAATTTCTCAGATTTTAGAAAAGTTTCGTTCGCTACGAGATACTATACAGATTCCAATGTTTCAAAATCCAAGGAAATCACGTCTCTCGCGTTACTGTGCAATGAGAGACCCTGATTTCAAGAGCAAAGTACGTGGATGACGCAAATCATTTTCATAACTCATTAAGAGACAGCGAAATGTAGGTCTGTATTACACTTTCGTGCTTGTTGGTGAGTGCGTTTCAATTATTTAATCAATGATATTTAATAAATATTATATTAAATATCATATAAATATTATATAATATTATATATATTAAAAATAATAATTAATATTATATAATATATATAATAATAATAAATATTATATAATATTTATATACAATATATAATTACATATGAATAATATAATAATTAATATAATATTTATATATAATATTATTTAATACTATATTAAATATTATATGATGTTATATATTATATTAAATATATTTATATGTAATAAGCATATATACATAATAGTGTGTGTATTTAATAAATGTCTTCAATAAATTTGAATTTTTTTTAGATGATTTGAAGTTTACAATAATTGAAGCATTGCGAAGATTTACAAAAATATGTTAAAAAATGTTGACTCGCTTCTCTCACACGAAACTTAAAATCGTTGTACGGGGACTATAATCTGAGAGCTGTTGCGCAATCAGCAATTGAACAATAGGTAAAGCAATGAACAACGATCGATTGCGCAATCGGCAGGATTCCCTTTCGTCAGAAACGCGCGTCAGATACGTTCCGCGAACGCCTCTCGATTTTTCGAAGGAGACTTCGGGCACACTTGAATATTCCCGGATCGGGACGAAAAGTTTCCACGATTCGTTGCGCAACCGCTCGTGCAACCCAATACTAATGTCTATAATTTCACACGTGACGATCGTCCGAGACGAATGCTAAATCGCTAGGAACATAGACAGCCTAGGTGGAACGGAATTCAATCGTCGGAACTCGATGTGCAATATTATTTTAACAACCGATAATTATTAATAAAAGCCAATTACAAAATTTTTCGTCCGATTTGCATGAAATTCAAGTAAGTAGTAGAGCTCGACCCTTCGAGCAAGTTTCTCCTTTGCGGAAATTTTCTATCTGCTTTGGTTTCCGAGATATTTCAGAAAAACTGCGGACCTAACGCGGACCTAACCTGGACCTAACATTGACCTAGCCTGGATCACCTGACTTATTGTTCTATTTAAAGCGAGGATCTCTACGCAAGATCAATAATTCTGCAGTTCGATCGCAACGAACAGGAGTTAAAGAAAAATTAATTTCCATTCGTAGTATGTTTGATAAGTTAAAAATAATTTAACAACAATGTTAAATTTATTCTCTGCAATTATTGTTTTGCATTTTGCTTACTCAATTTTCGCTACAATTGCAAAAAGCTGTGCTGAATTTATAATGTCTATCTATGTTTATGGGTCTTTTAGCATGGATTAGGTTTGAGTTAGGTCTCGGTTAGGTCTCGGTTAGGTCTCGGTTAAGTCTGCGCTAGGTCCACAGTTTTTCTCGAATATCTCGGAAACTAAGCGCGGCCGACATTTTCTGCAAAGGAAAAAGTTGTTCGAAATAACAAGCTCTACAACATATTCAATTTTTATCAAAATCGAAGAGGTATAACTTTTCTCAAAAATTCTGTTAACTAATCTAGCCGCTAAATTACAAACGATGCGAACGATTCACGAGTTTCTCCGAGCTAATATTCTGATTCGTTGCACCGTGGGATGGAATGGAGACGCTTAATGATAATCAAGAGGCGCCGCAACGCGATCGCCGTGTTCCCAAGAATCCCAAGGCCGCCGCGTTGGCATAAAATTCGCGGTTTCGCGAGCGCTGAATGTTTCGCGCTAACGTCCAACGATTTATTATCACGCGGCCGCGGCCGCGGCAGCTTCGAGGCCTGGACTCACGGCGTTTCTGTTCCGCCCGATGCAGAAAATAATGCCTCTTACCTGGCCGAAGTTTCCTTGCCCGAGGACCGTCTGTAACCTTAGCTTATCTCTAGGAAACTCCCATCTGGATTCCTGCGACGACGGGGGCGGAGGTTTCTCCGCTTCGTGACACTGCGTTAAAAAAAAATAAACGTTATTCAGACACAATTATTATCTTCTTTAATTGTTGTTCTTACTGTTATTATTGTTATTAATTTTATTGTAAGTTTTTTATTGTCGAATACCCTGTCCAAGTATATTTTATTCTAACAAAGCATACTTTTTTCTAACATAGTATACTTTTTTGTCATAAAGTATATTTTCATCTAACAAAATATATATTGTTCTAGCAAAAGAATATTTTGTTCTAGAAAAGTATATTTTATTCTATCAAAGTATACTTTGTTCTCACAAAGTA